CTGATGTTAATGTGTCTGCATTCAAGCATTTCAGTGGGCTTAAACAGATCACCCTTTACAGCAGATTTAGTTCACAGACAACTGACAGCTTTGACCTAAATATGATTTTCAGTTACAATAATTAATCCTACAATTCGACATTAGGAACTTACTTTTAACAGCATCAGACGCGCGCGCTCACAACATCTCCCGGTTCTTACTTGTGAATTCAGTTCACTGGAGACTCGCACTAAACGGATCATTTGAATCAGTGAGTTGTCGACTCGAGAACAACTGCAATCGGTTCATTCTAATTCGTGAATGAATCGTTTGGTGCGATTTGCGAACCGATTTTAAAAGGTTCATTTAAAAGAATCAGCTCGTTCTTGAATCAGACACCGCTTCTGCGTGTCGGAGCACGTGATATATTATAAGGAGTAACGATATGTTTTATGAAATGTAGTGAAGTAAAAAGTACGATCTTATGCTTTGGAATTTAGTGAAGTAAAAGTTAAAGTTACTCAAAATAAAACTACCCCAGTAAAGTACAGATACTTGAAAAATTTACTTAAGTACAGTAACGAAGTAAAACTACTCCGTTACTGTCCACCACTGCCCGCTACGCGCTGCGACACAGCAGAGAGGTTATTAAAGAAATGTTCATGCCCCGGCACTGATATAGGGGGGACGTGCGCGCCTCTGTCGCCATCCTGTAACTTTCGTAAGATGTATTTTTGGATCACACAGCTGCAGCGAGTGCAGCCGACGGTGTCAACCCCATTCTTACTTTCCCTTAGCTGGCACATCCAATGTGGCGGACATGAAACGCTGAGTGATGTTGACTTTAATCACGTTAAACGCTGTAATTTCACTCTTGTTTTCCATTGGGAACAATATTAAGCCAACCCTCTGTTTACGACGAGGCCGATTAGAGTGACAATTATACTATGAGAAGCCACACTTGTGGGTTCAGTGAGCAATTTCACAATCCTGTTGCTTCCTCTCAAGTCTTGAAATGTTAATATAGTTGAGGGTTCGAATGGATTGCAATATTAGAGGAGGAAATCAACTGAGGGCGGTTACGAAATCGGACATGATACAAGTGTTTGCGATTTCTGTTGAGAGCAAAAAAACGTAAAGAGCAAAACATTTCCGCATAACAAATCGTAATTTGTTTACGATGGGAAATGGGAGGGGTTTCAAAGTGACAGAAAAACAAATAGACAGACACATCGGGGAGGGGCGGCTCATGTCAGTCTCCCTCATTATTTTGATTTGCGACTCTTTCGTATTTTTCCCCAGCTTTGTCTACTGAGGTAGAAGGCATGAGTCTGTGTTCCACGCAAACGGCTTATTAGCAGCTTGAGGTGAGCTGGTTATAATGACTGAATTCATTAGCGCTGGAGTAGAAATGATTGTGTAAAGGAGACAAAAAAGGGGTGAATGAGAGACAGGAAGAGGAGGAGGAACATGGTAGGACGACCAGCGTTGCGGCAGCCTCTGACCCCCAGCGCATTCGATTGGCAAAGTGTTGTTAAGGAGCGTGACGCCGACCTTCATCACCTCGCCAGCAACGTGACCTCTTCACCCGCCACCTCGCTTCCTCCCGTGGGAATAAAGGTATCTCAGAGGGGCTTGAAAGTGCCACCTTGCTTCTTTCTCTGTTCTCATAAAGAGTCTGGAGGTCGTGGGGTCACTTTACTGTCGGCTGCCACAAAAATCATTCAGAAATCGATGATATTCCAGCATGTGGGCAAAGACAAAGCCTTTTGAAGCTCATTTGAAGTTCTGAACTTTGTCGTTGCTGCCATTCATGTGGCCGAAATTCGTCAACTCTTGTTGAAAACGCACGACTTCGGGTCACTTTGTTGCGGGAGATCACCGTAAGTGTGAATGGCCCTTTTGTCAGATTATTACTTTATATACAAAAGAACAAGAATATAAAAAAAATAGCAAGGGGAAAAAGGCAGCAATTATTTTGTCTCAAAGAAGATGCCTACAGACAGAGATGGAACGCGAACTGGCTCCGCAATGGATGCAATCGGAGCTGAAACAATTAACATGACAACACAGAGAGAAGTGTGTGCGCTTGCGTGTGTGTGTGGAAAGGAAGATTTATCCGACAACCGATACAAAGACACAACAGAGCAGAGAGAGAATCCAAACACCTCAGATCAGCTAGACGTCAGCTCTTATTGGAGTTGTCATTAACTTTCGTTAGTGCTTGTGCTACCGCAAGCAGCAGCCTGTTTAAGGTGGTTTGATGAAAACGATTTATTAGAAAATAAAAAAAAAACATGTTAAGAAACATCAAATGATTCATAGGAGAATGTGCTAAATTTCCTTTATGTTGTTGTTTTACCTACATACTCAACATAAATAAATACACACATATATATAAATAATAAATAAATAATCAATAATTTTTCAAATATGACCGCAATAATCTAATAATGATAATTATTATTACTATTATTATTATAATGAATAATGAATTAATAAAGCTATATATAGATAAATATTAGGGCTGTGCAATTAATCGCATGTGATTAACATGTGCATCTTGTCAGTAAAGCCGGTTCTGTGATTAGTTGTAAATCTCCATCACCTGCTTTCAGATGGAGCAGCATTTACTACACAGACCCATAGTTCACTGACAATTAGGCAATATCGCGTTCATAATCGCAGATCAAATCGCCTGCGATTATGAACACGATTTTGTGTAGCTTGTCAGTGAACTACAGCTCTGTATAGTAAATGCTGCTCCATCTGAAAGCAGGTGGAGATTTACTACTAATCACAGAACCGGCTTTACTGACAAGATGCACATGACAATCACATGCGATCAATTGCACAGCCCTAATAAATATATGAAGCCATTTATCATATTTATGGCTTTGTGCCCAAATAAATAAATACAAATTTAAAAAGTGAAAAACTGCTGGCCTAAAATGCTTATTGTCGAAAAAATTTATTTTGTGGCACTGCAAAGAAAAAGAAAAGAAAAAAAAGAAAAAAATCTTGGCCTGAAGGAACGACACAAAAAGGACCGTGTTCTGCACTTGCCTAACAGAAAGCGAGAGCAGAACAGGGAAGAGGGAGAGAGAGATAGAAAGAGCTGAAGGTCTAATCCAGATCAATTGTTTTCTGTTTCTGAATCTCTCTCTCTCTCTCTCTCGCTCTCTCTCTCTCATCAGGTCTCGGCAGAGGCACCTTTAGAGATCCTAATAGCGGCACATGGTGTCGGTCTCTCTTTTCTCTGGTTTCTTACCTTCAGGAGATCTATTTCTTTGATGCAATCTTGCCGAGCTTTGGCATCCATCAAGTCGAATATCTATCAAAAGATCAAAAGGGAGAGAGAAAGAGAAAGGAGAAAGAGGGTATGACACAAAGACAGAAAAAGAAAAAGCAAGTAAAAATGTTACTGGTACAGGGTGGTAGAGCAAGAAGGAGGGGGTAAGTCACACTGAAACCCAGGACCCCCAAACTCCTGCCCCAGCACATCTACACCCCTGCTGCCTCAAGCGTCCCTATTTTCCCAGAATAACCTGCGTTAATGGGTCAGGAGAACTGTGCGAGTTCTCAGGGTTCATTTTTAGGTCATCCAATTTTATTTAATGTTTCTCCAAAATACTTCTAATATTACTTAACATTTAAATGCTTCTAATTGGTCAATAACAGCACTTGGCAGTCAAATACTTTTGCACAATGACCAGTCTTATCACTTCATGCTTTCCTCCTCCTTGCAACTCAAATCAATATTTATTTATTTAACCATATTAATTAATTCATCTTTCAATTAATTAATTTGACTTTATTTACTAAGTAAATACTGTATTTTCTATCTTTTGATTTTCTGTATTTATTTGCATTACTAATTTATTCATTTATTTATTTATTTATTTGTATTGATTAATTTATTGGTCTTAGCATGTATTTATTTATTTGTATTAATTTAATTATCTTTTAATTTATTACTAATTATTTTTATCTTTATTTGTATTAATTAACACATGTAATTATTTATTGAATCTATTTGAATTTATTTATTTGCACTCTTATCTTTTTATTTATTACAAATTAATATTTATATACTTTTTATTTATTTGTATTAATACATTTATCTTATATTTAATACTTTTTTTTTTATTTAAATACAACTACATGAATATTTTTAATTACTTAAATTAAAAAGAAAAGTTTCATGTTCGCATTGATAACACAATTTATTTTGCTATAACGGGCTGACTTTAAATTATGTCGTACTTGTTGTAAAACAAGCTTGTTTGTGCCGTTTTAGAATATCAAAGCTGATTATGCCGACAGTATGTTAGATGTATCTGTTAGATTTGATCATGTCTGTCCAGATTATAATAAAGCACACAGTGTAAAAAGCAAACAGAAAATGTTACAAGTATCTCAAGGCAAAAGTCTAAAAATCAAGCCAAAACTTTCAAACCTAAAGAGAATGAAACTATTCCAAATATTACATTCTTCCTTCGTGCAATCAGGGTTGCACAACATTTGCGTCAGGAAACATCGCCTATAATAATTATCCTAATCACAAAAGGTGGAAATGTTGCCCATAGTGGATCTCCAACCTGACAGCGTTGAACCATGTACAAAATCATAGAGATTGAAGTTGATAGTTGATCTCCAAAAATCTGCATTGCTCTAAAGTTTGCATTCAAGTCAATACTATAAGAACACAACAAGTGGCATTAATGAACTGCATTATGGGAAATATTCACTGAGTAAAGACTGTTTCTACCTGTCATTTTTAATGGCATATACAAAAATGCCAATTGTTTCTGGGCTCATCATTAGTGTTGATAAAGTCAGTGGTAGTGACGGAGTCGACCGCTGTGTGTGTTAAGAAAGCAGAAGCGATGGTAACCAGGGACCAGTCTTTTAATCTAGAGCTTGCCAATTATTTCTTCCAGCACGTCTGCTCTGCACATCCGGAGGAAACTGTGGAGCTTTTTTTGTGCTGGCTGTGTCTGTGAATATGTTTTATAGCAGGAAAAGAAACAGATTCAATCGTGATTATCAGCGCAAAAGTCAATCAGATGCCTGCTTCTGTTCAAACAAAATTTGCATAAATGTATTGATGAGTGTTTTGGTGCTTTCCAATCAGTCAATCCAGTACTGTTTTACCTTATAATATTGTTTTTGTTATGCGAAATTCATGACTTAATGTTCCAATAAAAAATGTATTAATTAATTTTAAATAAACTGATTCACTTAGCCACTGACTTTGGATTAAAGTCATATACAATTTTTTTTATCAATTTCCTTCAGCTGTGTAATCGTGTGTTGCAGCAGAACAAATTAATCAAAACACAAACTACAATAAACTGCCATCCAAACATGAATCTCTCAGAGTGGCTTTTAGGCAGTTCAGCTTTATGCTTCAGCATTCAATAGAATCTGATGACATACCAAATATTACTATATATTTATTTGCAATTATTTTGTTAATTATACAGGCTTAAAATTGATAATATCGCAACTAAATATTTACAATACATTTAATTGCAATAACTTTGCTAATTAAAAATGCTTAACAACATTATTAAATTGTGATATTAACAATGTTAAGTGTATGCAATTAAAATTTTTACAAATCAATACACTGTAAAAAATGTAATCACAATATTAACATTTAATAATTTAAACTTATCAAGCAATATTATAAAATGTTATAAAAAATAAATAAAAAAATATGTATATATTTCTGGCTAAAACACCTAATATAGTTAGCTATAATGAGAGTTATTTTGGTATCGCTGATATACTATTATAGTTTTTTTTTTAAATGTATTTTCCATTTATATTTAAGTTTTAGTCATTTTGTTGTTTTGTCATTTTTACTATTTTTTTCTACATTTTTTTTTAATTTTAGTTTTAGTTATTTTAGTTGCTTTGACAAGTAGCAGAAAAAAAAACGATTTTTTTAATTTTATTTTTATTTCAGGTAGCGTTTATTTTATTTCAAGTAATGAAATGTTTACACCAGACTTTACTGATATAAAACATACACAAAAAATTTTCATTGCAGAGACTGTAAAATATACTTATTTCACAAATAAAGACATACAGCATGAAAAGTTCTTACCTGCACTTTTTTCAAAGCTACTGGTGTATGGTCTAGCATGTATGTAGCTCGATAAACCTCGCTGAACTGTCCTCTTCCAATCTTTTTTTCAATGTGAAAATTGGCTAAACTGTTATAGCCCATATCCTGTTGGATTTTCTGAAAAAATGAAGAACAAAACAAGAACATTTCAAGAAAGCGAAATGCACATCACACAGCTTTCATTTGTGCTTTTCCACTCATCTTAAACTTAAAATGACAAACCAAACATGTCCCCACAGATCGGCCATTGCGAGCCAAACTCCATGATTGTTTTTATTTATACACCAAGAGAAGGAAGAAAACTCTGGAGGGAATCTGGGAAAGGTGTCATTAGGGCGATGTGTCAGGGCGAGACAGTGTGGAAACGAATCAACATTAAGCATCCACTTTGAATCCAAAGCGCAACATTAATCTTTGCCATATACTTTCTGGATGAATCAGACGAGTGGTGACATCCCTACTTCTGAAGTGACTTATGCTGGACCAGTTAGTGACAAACCGCCCAGAGTGCTCTTCCCAAGAATACACTTGCGCTCTAAAATTAAAAATCTAAACAAAACCCAGAATTAGCCCCTCGGAGATGGTGTGAGCAATTAAATAAATTAACACTCTGACCTTTAGAGGCTTTTCGAGTGTAAACTTTAATCCCGCAAACATTCTGGCAAATGGAGGTGACAGATAGTGGAATGCAATATGTCGTGGCAAACTACCCAAGGATGGCCATAAGACGACCTTGAAGGCAAATTACATCGTGAAGATGCGAAAGGGAGGGGCAGGATGACACAAACCTATTCTTGTAAACATGCTAAATCGCTTTTATTTATAGTCATGGAATATATTTTCATGTTATGATTCCATATTAAGCTTAAGTTTCGCTCAACTCCCCGAAACATTCATCCATTAGGATATTCAGTAATAGCAACAAACAACAACTTGATGTGAACGTCATCCATGTCTTTCTTACAATACCAGAATACTTGGACGATCTGTCAAATCCATCATCATTATTGTGTAAAACTGTCTGATATATATAATGGGTTGAACTGAAATAAATGAGTTGCAGGAAGCACTGCAGCTTGACTAGACACCGGAGGGGTGGATGTAGATCAAGGGGCGACCAATTTAAGAATTTCATTGTTTTCTAACTTGACAGCTTTAAGGGAAAAAAAAAGGTGTGAGCCAAAGAATTGCCCCATCCAATTAACACACTGAGGTAGCTTGTTTTTCAATGTGACAACGCGCTCTCAGCCCCTTCTTCCAGGGACACATCTGGTGCAGCAGAAGCAGCGCTCTCTTTCTGCCACCGCAGTGAAGAGAAAAAAGCTGGATCTGACTAAATTTAACAATATCAAGCTAATATCCAAGACACCAGGTTTCTCGGCAACATGCAGTTATCTTGTGTCAAATCCAGAGAGGCTTATGAAAAAATGGTTATTTGAGCACAATAACAAGTTGGAAAATTTGTGTTTTTTTATGGTTATACAAACCAAGAAAAAATAAAAATAAATAAAACACCTAGGGGGTCAATGACACATGTATTCATTAACAATAGTGTTATCGTTTACTAAAGCTAAAACTATTAAAATTGTTTTTGTTAATTAAAATCGAAATACTAGATTAAAACATTAATAATGAAAATGAGAATTGTTGCTAACTTAAAAAATTATAATAGTATATAAATAATGCTAAAATAACACTGATTAAAGGATTACAATTCTTTATTTTTAATTACATTAAAAAAAATCATAAAAATATATATTTATATAATATAAATCAATAACTGCTTCACTTTCATCAGCCAAATAAAAACCATGGGGTGCAGGAAAACAAAACAGGAAATTACATCATAAAGGACCCACGCAAACGTCATGTGGTGCAATTAATGATACATATTATATACATTAATTAATACATAATTAATAATACGTAATATTTGTGTAAAAAAAACTTTTTACCTTAGAAAATATTTACATTATTCTTAAGTTACACCAAATGATTTAGAGACATGAAATTTAAACTTTTGAAAATAGCATACATAATTTTCAAAACCATATGATACCCACATAAACACAAAGAGTGCATTTATAAGAACTTTGCCTTTGTGCTTCAGACTAGATTTTTAAAAGATTTTGCTTTTGTTTATTGTGGACACTCTTATTTGTCATTGACCCATAGATGATACATATGTATCATGTTGATTTGGTCAGCAGCGGATGGTCCACAGAGGGCCAAGGCATTGCTTTCACTCCCCGCATGGTCGCTTGACAAATGTTAGCATGAGCCTCTAAAGCGGCATGACAAGCGCATGCTGAGAGCAAAGTCGAGCTAATGTGTTCTGGCATGCGGCTCGCTAATCACACATTTACATATGCAATGACCTACATTTGCATGTCAGCTCGTGCACTGTCCGGCCTGATTAACGACGGGCACCTCCCAGCGCCGAGTAGGCCGGCATAGCGGCTGGAGGAGGCCAGAGGGTGGCGGTTTTTTTGGCAGCCGAAGGGACGCACTGCCAGCCAGGATTAGGCCTGACACGGCCTGAGCTCCAGACACTTCATTAGAGGTAATCTGTTTAGCAGTGGGCAGTGTATGTAAACTTCACAGGCCATTTGCGGCACCTTTCTGCCCCCTGGCCTCGCCTTCAAAGGGCAGCAGGGGCGCCCTGACTGACAGCTTGTCTCATCCGTGGCTTTGCGCTGTCACACAACTTAGAGCACTGAGCTGGCACGAGATAAACCGCAGCAGCCGAGGATCTCCACGACCGCCAGGGTCACTCGACAGCGGAGTGACACGGTTTGTACAGATTGCAGCTTGCAGGAGGGGCGGGAGCTCAAAGGTCTCGTTGCCACTCTGCGTGAAGCAGAGAAAACAAAAATAATGCACGGAGGTCAGAGGAAAGGGGCCAAGAACGCCTTGAATTGGGATGCCGAACAACTTTGACGCAAATCTTTACAATAAGATGCGGTCACATTAGTGAAATATCAGCGAAATTTTGCGGGCAAAAAGTCTGCCTGTTGTCAATAGTGTACTGTACTGATGCATGAAGTACAGCTCACATAGAAGTTACTTTCAAACCAAGCCGCTTTCTGTTGGTCAGTGTGGCAATTAGTGTGACCAACTTGAATGAGCGACATCTGCATGGGGAACTTTTTCTCCATCACGCGAAACTCCCGATCGTGCAGATTTCTATCGAAATGACTTAATATTGCTTGCAAAATTTCGCTAAACAATGGTAATGTCAACAAGCATTTTGTCAAAGTCTTCGCTGACGAAATTAACACTAGCACAGAGGTGGGAAAGAAGGGGCCAAGAATGTCTTGATTTGGGATGTGGAACTTTTGAGCCAAGATTTGATGCACTCACATTAGTGAAATGCCCACGAAAAAATTGTCTATTGTCAATAGCATAGCAGTGCATAATAAAGCACAGCTCATGCAGAAGCCACTTGCGTACCAAGCAACTTTCTGTTGGTCAATGCGGCAAATTCACGTGACCAACGTAAAATCTGTGCAGGGAACATTTTTGCCCCAACTCAAAACTCCTTATCACATGGATTCCTATTGGAATGACTGGATTCCGCCCCTGTGAAATTTCGACAAGCAACGGTAAATGTGACCACACCTTTAAGCCCAAAGCATACTTATATTTTGATGCGAACAAGCGCTCAAAATATGCGCACTAGAAAGTTTTGATCCTTGTTTAGCGCTATTTCTCTCCAGAGGTCATGATCAAAAAAGATGTCTCTGTACTAATTTAAACTAGAGTTGCGCATATCTCTTTACCCCTTACATAATAGCTTGTCAACATGAGCGACTATTGTTATTGCATTGTCGTGGTTGTTCCATCTCATCGGTCTTTTTTTACCTGTGAAACAACAGGCCTGTGCAATGTTGCCACCTTGTGGACAAACTAACTACTGCAAAAAAATCTCAAAGCGCATGCGCGAACTGAGCATACATTGTACACATGGAAGGGGCTGAGAACGCAAAAAAAGGGGAAAAAAATTGCCCATGCAGATTTTGTTAGAAAAATCTAACGGCGCACATACAGTAAATGGGTACTCCACTAATGTATGTGTAAAAAACTAAGTATATTTTGGGCTTTAGTCTTGAACCGCCGCTTTGGTTAAATAAAAAAAAGGTCAGAGGGGACAGAAGATGCAGCAGAGCATGCTGGGTAAATGACTGAAAGCGACAACACATCACAGAAGCAACAGCAAAGGATGGAGGGTTGGCCACTGGTGACACAAGTGTAAAAAGAGAAATGCAGACATGTGGCCGCATGACAGGGGATGCGAGATAGGAGGAGGAGAATGACGGAGGATGGGACGGCAGCAGTATGGAGACTAGGTGTGAGCTGACAGCACAACACTGCCAGCGGCTGCCAAGGAAAGGACAACCGAAGCGCTGAAGAGGTGGTAGAGTAGCAAGACGGGCTTGGTGGTGGTGATGTTGGTGGTGGGTTATACCTCCTTCACCCCACACCTCTTCAACAACCTCTACTGCTCCAGTATTTAAAGCCTTTGCTTTACAAGGGGATTTTGCTTTGTTGAAAAATCTGCCGTGACGATTAAAATCTGATCTGAAGATCTCGCCCTCCCACTCGCTCAGAGAGCAAATGCGCCATCAAATATGTACGCCTTACCAGCTCATCCGGCATCTCCTATGCATATCCATGAAACCTTGGGGACTTGAAGATATGATACCAGCGTATGCGTGATTGCATACACAATTCAGCATTTTTGGTTGCTTTTTTTTCTTCCAAGGGAATACAAGTCGATCTTGGATGCTTGTTGAGAGTCTTGTAAAAGTCATTCTCTTAAGCTGTCATGGTGTAATCCATCGCCAGACTTACCTTGAGTGTTGCGTTCAAACTAATGTCAAATGTCTCTCATGCTTTTTTGATGACGGTGGGCCTGTAGTTTTCACCGCCTGGCTGTATTAAACAACCAGATTTAGTACAAGACCATTCAATGTCTCACTGAAGGTCAAAGGATATTGGATTTTGCCTAATAACTAATGTTTAAAAAAAGCCATATTCCAATTTATTGGCTAATACCTTTTAATAAAATAAGTTAAAAAATTTCAAGAGACTACATGAGCCCAAAACGTATGACATCCCAGAAGCAGTTTATTGTTTAATCAAAACTCCCATAAATAATTGGAAACCAAACCAGTAAAAACATTTAAAAAATGTTATCTGGAATTTCATAAATACTGGAATCCTGTAGTCTCTATGTTTGGGTCGTTCCATCCCATTTAAAATATTTAAACATTAAACATACTGATTTTAAAAACTACTGGATTTAGCATTTTTCCCCACATCAGTTATCTGTATCTGCAAAATTCAACATAGGTTTAAACATAAATCAATGTATATAAGACATTTGATGTTTGAAGTTTGAACGCAACGCTCAATGTAAGTCTAGCAATAGAATACTTCATGACAGGTTAAGGATTACTCTTATTTTCTTGGGGAAAAAACACAACAAAAAAATTAAAAGTCAAACCTAAATGCTTGATTCAAGGTTTTTTTGTTTTTTTTTTTGGGGGGGAAAAAACAATAAAATGCTTACAATCTGAATTGTGTATGATTCTCATTTAGAACTAATAAAATAAAATAAAATACCAGAAACAAATAATTTTTAATTAGAATTGTCAATTACTTTGATTACGTTAACGGTTCTTGAACATTTCTTGCTCTTTTCCACTGAAGGAAAAAAAAGACCTAATGCATTAATTAATTTTTTTTTTTATTCTCTCCTGATAAGGGAACTAGTGTTGTCAAAAGACCCGGTATTTCGGTACCAAGTCGGTACTAAAAAAATGAAAACGTTACGGTACCAGGTTTTCTTAAGTACTGGTACCCGGTCAACCCGGTTCTTGATGCGCTATCAGGAAGCTATCCTCTTCCAGTGTTGCCAAGTCCGCGGTTTTCCCGCGGAATTGGGCTGCTTAACACTGTTGCCGCGGGTTGTTTTTCATGTCCGCGGGTTGAAAAACGACCCCATTAACGTGATATTTAGCCCCTGGAATGCGAATTACCAGGGGAACCCCGCCAAAACACGCGTATTTTATCCCCGGAACGCGATTTTTAACGGGGACCCCCTCGAAACGCGATTGGGCGGGTTTTGTTGTGAAAACCTGGCAACCTCTTCTTAAATACCGAATACTGAAATTTTGGTACCGTGACAACACTAAAGGGAACATTTATGAACAAGTAAATACGAGCACTAATTATCAACAGTGCATTATTAATGGTTATATCATTTTAATTCCCAGTGTTTCAATCATACGATACAAATAACTTTAATACATATAAACAATGACAGAGAAATCATTTAGGCCTAGACTCAAGCAATCACCAGATGATGTTTTTATATTGACCAAATGAAATTTTTTTATTTATTTTCACCAGATGAAAAACGCAAAGTAAAGTTTCTCTTTCACAAGGCAAGTTTCTCTGTTTAGCTCTTCTATAATAAAATATCCACAGTAAAAATAAAAAAACTGGTTAATGATGACTGATTTACACATACAGTACAAGAAAGATGCTCCTCATGTAAAATAAATAAAAACTTTTATTGTATTTGATAATCAAATGAAGATTCCAAAGGCTGGTATCGGCAGTGATTACTCAGTAAAAAAAACAAAACATTATGTTCTAATTTGAACATAACTCATGACCTACCACAAGACGACTTACAATAATGGAGTCGGATGATTGGAGGGAATTAGTCTGGAGGGTGTGAAAAGGAAGTACGACAAAAGAGAGATTAAGAGAGCGAATGAGGAAGAGAGAGAGCAAAAGACTGCTAAAAGCAGCAGATTTCTAACACCTCTGTCTCTGGTACTGGAAACACATGACGGCTCCTGTGTGCAAGAAACGTTGCTTGTGCAGAGAGCAGAATCTCATTATCACCTCTCACCCGGCACAGCGGAGAGACAGCCGGAGCAGACCGCCGCCTGTCTCTCTGCGGGTGGATTGACAGACACGGAGATATTTGACGGGGGCAGATGTGGAAGAGGGCGACAGGCTCGTGCTACATGCTGCTAAGCAAGCAGGAGGTGAGTCAGGATGGTAGACACTAAAAAAAACCTCAAGTGGCTTTGTAGAACGACTATATAACGGGATTACAAAGAAAGTTTGGCTAGACTGTATGCATGTTTGTGTTTATGTATGAGAGTACACAAACCTGTGGCTGAAACACTGGCACTGGAGGCTGCTGGCCTTGTGATTGGGCGTCCATCGTGACAGCAGCAGTCCCTTACACCCCTGTAAAACAAACAAACAAACAAAATATGATGCATCGACCATTCCTGGCACGGCCACAGGAACAAACCCTCCCTCCTTGTAATAATCTCCAGTGAAGGCGGACGTGTGAATCCGGTAATAGAATTAGGGTCCGGAGCAGCGCTCCTGACAATCATACGCTGCCGTGGAAACAGTCGGCCAGCGTCACCTCGCCCGAGGAACCCGATCCGCTGAGAACACGACACCCATTGTGCTAATGAGACCTGTCAAAGAGCCACGGCACTGGAGACCTTTCAAATTGAATGGTAAAACTCAGTTGTTAAAACCAGTAGCCCATTTATCGAGCACCAAAGCAAATTATTGCCAAAAAAAACATTGAATGTGTGAAACCAAATACAGTGCGGTCAGAATACAAAAGACACACAATTAAAGTTGAAGATGAGAGGACAATACTACAGCAGGTACAGTACCAGTTCTACCACCAAAACTCAATATTATAATCAGTTATATGATCTCTAAATTAGTCAGTTAGTTATATACTGATAAATATCTGCCGATATTTGTCCATTAAGAGATTTTTTAAAGATTTAATTTAGTCAAAATCCAAACTGGAAATTGAAAATGAAGTTTCGGTAATTACATTTAAATAACTAGGTAATTAAACTCTATGCTGTTCAGGGTGTCATGTTCTAGTGAGGATCCTCAACAACGAACCGCTTCTCAATATTTCAGTTGAACCCATTTTACATATCGTTACTGTATCATCATTTTTGGTTGACTGTAGCCATTGACTTCCATAGTATTTTTGTCCATACTATGGAAGGGTTACTATCAATTGTTTTGTTACAAACATTATTCCAAAATCTATTCTTTGGTGCTCAACAGACGAAAGAAATGCATACAGGTTTGGAACAAAATGAAAATTTGTCATCATTTACATTTTACATAATGTAAATGACAGAATTTTCATTTTTGGGTGAATCATCCCTTTAAATGTTATTCTGTTAAATATTCAGTTTTTTTATGATAAATAATTAAAATCTTGCATTGCTTTGGTTTAGATATCAAGGCAACAAGAACCAAAAGAAAATCACATTTACATCAACAGAAACACATATAGTATGTTCAGCAAACACTACAAACTAGCAGCTGATTCCTTCTGACTATCTATCTATCTATCTATCTATCTATCTATCTATCCTTCATTTTAAATTTTGTTAAAACAACCTTTATTTTGGCTTAAAACTGAAAGAAGAACTTCAAGTTTCAGTGTGTACTTGGCAACACTTTTAATGTGCTTCTCACTAAAAATCTGGTAAAAAAAAAAAAAAAAAATGCAAATCTCCGTCTGCTAAAATGGACCATAAACATTTTCAATGCACATTATAAGTGAACAACTGTGTGGACTTAAAGGGCCTGTTTACACCTAGTCATTTCATGCGTTTTCGCTGATCGGATATCTATCTGATTTGTTAAAACGTTTCCATTTACACTTGGCCACATAAATGTGTTGTCGCAAAACGGATATAAATCCAATCTTCAATTCCCGCACTATATTTAAATTTAACGGAGTTCACGTCAACAAAATCAAAAGATAAGCGCTGCATTTTATTAATTATCAGCTCATTTCAAGATCAAAGACCGCAATAAGAGAGCGCGCAGCATCAGCACTGGGAAGATAAGTTTGTCTTACTACTTTTAATTATGATGATTGTGTGTTGAACATCTGTGTCTTACTTTCAGTTTCATTTGCGGCAGTTTGCACGTCAGCTTGCTGAAGAGATACTCAGCTACTCGTCCGCAGCGATGCGTGTTGCATTAGCGCAGTCTGACTAATGTCATATAGCCTATAACGCTCTCACACGTTTATTATTTTATCATTTTGGGAGGAGTAAAATTTACATGTGGTTTCAACAACCAGATGCATTTACACTTGTCCAGTTTCATCTGGAATGCGGCCCAGACCACCTCCTGAAGTGGTTATAGCAATTGGATTTATATTAGTCTCGAATGCGTTTTGGAGGGCATTTACACCTGGTCTTTTCACGATCGGATAGCTATCCGATCAGAAAAAACGCATGAAGTGACCAGGTGAAAACAGGCCCAAAGTGATCCAAACCTAGTGCACATTTACAGATTAATTGCAACCCTTATCATCGGCATCTGCCAATTAGCTAATTAGTTAACTAATTAACAACAAGTGGTCATTCCATCGAGTACCAGAAACAACATACAACAACCTTGTCAATGAAAAATGGATATTTTGTTTTCAAATATTTTTGGCAGTATAAGAATTGCATAAATTGTTACTTTACATTTAGAATAAATTCAAATTTAATTCAGAAAACGTGCACATTTTATTCGGTAGCATTAAATAATATTATATCTGTCATCCTGTTCTCTAGATATCTGTTTTTGGCCACTGAATTAAAGAAAAAACATGTCGCTTAACTACAAATTTCAACCCAATGATTCCTTCATTACTTTCACACACACACACACACACACACACACACACACACAAAAACCTTCAATAACAGTCGCCTATAAAGCACTTAGTATCTGTTGAGTCTAGTGCTTCTGGAAAGCCTACAGAGACATTAATGTGGGCACAATAAAGCGTATGTGCAAGTAAGAAACAGTGAAGATGTGTTGTCTTTGCAGAGCCGACGATGAGAAGGTATAAATTAGGCCTGAGCTTTCGTCGGTGACAGTGAGCAAATACTAAAGACGGCTGCGCACTTTTCTTTACATCAAGCCGGGAGATGGGCCTGTGTGTGCCGCAGCCATCAAAATTTTTAATGATTGCTTGGTTGTCACTTCACTGCGACACGCAGCTCGGGTGAGCTCACCGTGTCCTCACTGTACTGAAGGAAAATGAGCGAGGGTTAAAAAAAAGAAACACTCCTTTCATAGAAAGGCCATTTACATGTCGCTCACCGTGTTGAACGTCCGTCTAAGCGCGTTGTCAGGGCTGAGTGGATCGAGGAGCTCGAGCCAATTAAAATACCTCATGCCGGTGAATGGAGAGATGGAGCTGAAGCTGTCACCATGGCAAAATAAAATCAGCCCGGTTTGTTGAAGGTTAATAACACTAATTAAGCACCAACCTCACAACTGAGATTTGAGTGACAGTGTGCGCAGGACAGGGTTTGTTGCCGCCGAAGATTTGTTTCTGTTTGCCATTTTTGCAGTTTAGCTAAATTTGTCTCCACATTAAGGATTGTGGAAACTGCTTGCGTGATGCATTTTCTCTGGGGAAGAACTAGTCGCTAAAGCCACACATTTAAACAGCCACTCTACAAGTATGTCATTAGTACTGGAAGAGTACGTTTTTAAATTAATGAAACACACCCGAGCTCCCAAAAAGCATACTTATGAAACCCTCTCTTTGTTCTTTCTTTACGAAACTTCAAAATGCGACTGAGGTGAATAATTCTGGGCAATAATTAGCAGTTTGAGACAGCAGTCAAAGGACACTCCTGTTGGCGATGTACAACGCTGCTGTTGTCTCCCTATTATGATAAAAAAACAAACACAATTTTATGCAATTACGTGAAACAGAGTGACAAATCAAATTTCAATCACTCTGTTGACTTTTAAAGTGAACATGAAATGCTGTTTGTAACCCATTTTAATTTTCTAATGTGACATTTCAGAGCAAAACAATAAAATAATTGTATAATAAAACTTTTAAAAAACTGTACATTTTAATGCTGTGATTCCAAAATCACAGCATTAGCATTAACATTTAGTATTTAATATTATGACTATTATTAAGAATGTTTTTAATAATTTCTTATTATCATATTATAATATGAAACAATAAAATGATTGTATAAAATAAAAAAAACTGTAATGCTATAATGCTTGTAGAAATTAATACAATAGAATTTAGTGTCTTAATTTTAATATTGATATTAGTCAAATTAATAAATAAAAGTAATTAAAAATTAAGTCATTTTAAAAAATAACAAAACATTACAATGCGTTCTCACACTCTCTCTCTCTATATAGTAATATTTCAATTATATATGTGTGTTTCATTTATTTATATATTTATTTATATTTGATTCTCCCTCTCTGCCAAAATTCACTTAACAATAGAATTTAGTTAACAGTAGGGATGTAACGATTCACTCAACTCACGATTCGATTCACGATTTAGATTTCCCGATTCAATTCGATTCACGATTTAAAAAAAAAAAAAATTTACAAAATGAGATTTAAGACAAATTATAAATTAAATGTGTCCTTTTATTATTGCTTGGACAAAATACTGTACGTTTCTTTGTGAAATTGAAATATAACACTATAATAATATACTAATATAGCACTTGTAAATTATTGCTCTTTTGTTGGTTTTGATTGCTTCTATTGTCCTCATTTATTAGTCGCTTTGAATAAAAGTGTTTGCTAAATAACAAAATTTTAATATAATGTAAATGTAAATAACCAAACTAAATTTAAATTTTAAAACAAGCCCCCAATCAAATAAATAAGTAACACAAATAAAAGAAATCTCTTCATATTAACAAACTAAGGCTTTGTCTGTGCTCTTTCCATTTAAAATTAGAGGCAACCACTGCATTTTATTCATGAACCAGATGCTGCATACATGCAACATGAGCAGTTTTTAATATAAATTACATTGTATAATTTCGAAATTTGAAGCAACAGAATGGTTTGACTTCAGTTTTGTGAAACTATGCATAAAAAATATCTGCATGAAACAGAAACAGCAGACGAGCTGAATGAGACGCAGATTCACTCTCTGCCAGCAGGTGGCGCTTAAAGCGTTTCCTTGGTTTCCACTGTAAACAAAGCAGCGCTGCACTTATGAACTTTAATATGCATTATACAGAGGCAAGAGGAAAAGAAAAAATACCATCGAAAGACAGTAAGTTCCCCTCAGACATACATTCATATAAACTCCTACCCCTAATTGAATCACGATTTGTTTAGCATCTCAACCGATTTGAATCGTCACATATTTAAATCGATTTTCAACCGGCTCGCGGTTAATCGTTATATCCCTAGTTAACAGCAGAATTCATTCATTTAGATACATGCACAATATATAAATTTTATATAACATAACATTATGAAGTAAATTACAAGTTTTATGGCTGATAATTCATTTAAAGTAAAGTTTCATGGCCAATAATTCACTCTGCACTAGCAGGTGTGTCAAAAAGTAAATTTTGACCTCTTGGTAGAGAGTCTGTCTGGCATTTGCCAGTGGCAGCACGAGATGGGTTGCCCTGTTGGTTAGTTCTAATTCAGTTTCACGCAGTTCAGATTGAGACTGGCAGCAAGGCTTCTTTGATTGACCTATTCCGTGTCAAAATGACTTCAGGGCATCAGCGGTTTCCATCCAACACCCTTCATTAACAGAATCAATTAAACATGCCACATGATATCAGCACACAAACACCCAAACAAGAATGATTACAGGAGCCGCATCCTCTGGAGACGACTGTATACACACACGCCAACACAC